TTGCCTTCAGTTTTAGAACCAAATATGAAATCTCCATGTTCACAGGTTTCCGAGCCCATGACCAATGCATTCGTAGTGTACGATCTCACCAAGACTGTCCCCTTCTTAAACTCTTACTTTTGATTCATGTCATGGTTGGTTGGAAAACATTCTCAAGTACCTCTCTCAAAAGGGATGCATGATGAGAATATTGTCTGTATCCTTGCATGCTGGAGAATGCCTTCTGCTCATTGTGGCCTGCACACATATGAGACAGTCTAGCTGGGTATAAAATTCCTCGATCACAGACTTTTCCCTCCTCAAGACCTACGGGCTGGCTTCTTTTTGTTGATTTCTAACCCATCTATAATTTTCCCTCATCCTGGTATTTCATATGTTGTGCAAAGATGTGTCTGGGTGTCAGTCTCTCTTCCTTGATGTTTTTCCAAAAAGTCAGTGAGCCTTCTCCTTGTGCCTATGTTGATCTGCCTTCAGCTCAGGAGTCCGATCTTCGATCCTTGTTTCTATCCCACTGCCTTTGTTCCCCATCGTATGTCACCCTCCACGTTCTCTCTTATATCCTTACCATTCTCTCCTTCATGGTTTTCATGTCTTTATCCTTTTCCTCTAGAATTTGTGAGAGTTTCCCCAGTTTTTATTCTCTGTGTGTCCGAATCAGGTGTCTCCAGGATCGTTTCTCTTTGCTGCTTCCAGAGTAGGTTTTAACTGTGCTACTGAGTTTTTAGGTTTTGGTTTTGGTTTTTCCAGCTCTTCTTTCTTTCCCGTGTCACGTTCTTAGTGTTGTCATATGGCCTCTTCAGCTCAGGCTCGTCTTCCCTTCGGGCTTTCTTCTCCAATTTCACAGAGACCGTGTCTTTTTAGATCTTTCTGAGTCTGCCATGCCGCATTTGGTTACACGTTGTCCGTGGCTGGTGTCAAGTCCCAGCAACGGACTTTGAATACTTGTGATACAGACCGTATGGCCTGCAAAGCCTAAAATATTTACTGTTTGGCGTTTTGCAAAAAAATAAGTAAAAATTGCAGATCCCTCTACTAGCACAACAGCTGGATACCCATCTCAGCTGCAAGCTGGATGGCAGAGGAAGAGATGCAGCTCTGGCCCTACTCCCTGGCTCCTACCAGTGTTTCCCCTCGATTCACTTTTGCTCCATGGAGATGGTATCCTTCTATCTGCACCACCTGATTTCCTCATTCTCTGCACCAGTAATTTTGATAAAAATGCAAGTTGAAATGTGCTGTCTGTCCTTCTGGGCCCTACCCTTCCTTAAGCTTCTCCTCCCTAGAGGAGGGCACCACCCCCAGTGCCCCTGCCTACTTCCTGCCCATTTGTTTTCTGGTTCTTGTCCCCGTGCCCTCTCTTTTTTCAAGATCTTCCTGTGCGTCGGACAAAAGGCCGTGTCTTGAGGTAAAACCTTGGACAGGTTTTGCTCATTCCAACACCATCTGCCTTTAATTAATAGAGATTGCTCCCAGATTCCAACATTGGGTCATCTATCAGTTTGGTTTTTGGCGTGAGTGTGAATTTTCATTTTTCTCATTGTCTTTACAGCTATTTTGGAACCAAACAAGGAGAGGCTCCATGGGTGGCTGCCAAGTAGATATGCCATTTTGAAGGAGTCAGAACTGCATGTAAAAGTTGTGGTTTGTCCATCTTGAGGCAGTCTCTGTGGCTGTGTGTGTATCTGATAAAAGAAGAAAAGGCAGGAACATTTTCCCTATCCAGGGACCACTTGTCCAATGACCTCAGTTCTCTGGAATACACCCAAAACAAAGAGTCCACAAGCCGCCAGATAGCTGCCACAGTGTCCACGTTCTGGACGTTATTCACATTACCCAAAGGAGAGCATTTCCGTCTCCCTCATTGCAAGCTGATTTACCCGTGTTTTATGTACAGTTCTAACAATCTTGGTCTTTGTTTCCCTAGCTCCACAACCAAATTGGAATCGGCAAATCTGAAGGGAGTAGCGAACATTTTACAATGAGCACACTGACCTAAGAAGTATTTCTGGGGCACCTGGGTGGCTCAGTCAGTTGAGTGTCTGTGTGCGGTTCAGGTCACCATCCCGGAGTCCTGGGATGGAGTCCCACGTTGGGCCCCCTGCTCAGCGGGGAGTCTGCTTCTCCCTCTCCCTCTGCCCCCCCATTCATGCTCTCTCTCTCACTCTCTATCTCAAATAAATAAATAAATAAAATTCTTTTTTAAAACAGAAGTATTTCTGATGGACAGACAGGAAAGACATAGGACCCCCCCCCCTCGCCCCCTGCAACAACTATAAATGCTCAGAGGCTAGCACCGTTTCCCAGAAGAGCAGGCAGCTTAGGGTTCTCTGTGTGAGCACCCTCCAGTGTGAGTCCACAACCACCTTCTCTGAGCCTCTCCTCTGCCAGTCTTCATGCTCTGTGCACCCTGTCCCCACCTCCCATAGCTCCTGGTGCTTCGGACAGTGGCTCCCAGGACCCTGGCTGGCTGCACATCAGGCTCCCCTGGGGAATGTCAAGAATCAGGACATGCAGCCTGCCCCCTAAACCAGGGAAATCAGGTCTTGGGGACGGGACCCAGGCATCAGTGTTTTTTAAGGCTTCCAGCTAATTCCGTTATATGGCCCAGGCTGAGAAGCAGGGCTAGTACTAATATGTTCTCATTGGGCAGGGAATGGATGCCACACGTTCTAGGATGATTTCTGTCCCAGGTGGATACTTAGTTCTGGAAAGAACCACTGTAGATGTCACCAGGAGGGAAGGCAAGAAGTGAGAGCTCGAGGTGCCCTGGGAGGAGGTTGTCACTGGGCTCTGCCACCGTGCCTTTGGCCCCACAGCGTGTGGCTTACATGCGGCAGGTGTTCTAGAACCTTCCTGAGCCCTAGCTTCCTGGCTTTCAGGCGGGACCAGCGGGGCCTCCCTCGCAGGGTTGCAGAGCCCGCGGCTGCAAGGTGCTGTCCTCACCCCCACCCCCACGCTGTGTGCCTCAGGAGGAGGCAGGACGTAGGTGATTTCCTGCCGACCAGAATGCAGCCCCTGACGTGGGCCAACGACTTCTGACTTGGGTAAAAAAATAACAAGAAGGCGAGGAGCGAGGGGGTTCAAGGCTGTCCCAGGAATCACGTCACCCAGTGCCGCTCGCATTCCAATTAGCTTCCCTAAGTGGCGAGAGCAGGGAGGGATCCCAGCCAGCTCGCTCGGGACCGCAGGACTTACGCACAACCTGGATTGGGCCGCGGTGGTGGCTTTGCTGTGCACGCCATCTGTCCCTGAGCTGGCTGACACGTGGCCCAGAGCAGCTCCTCCCCAGCGGGAGGCGCGGTGCGGTGGGCCTGATGCTTGTGCCCCTGGTCTGTGCGTTCGGGCCGCCATCTCCTCGCCTTGACTTTGGCCGCCCTAGAATGCAGGCCGCGGTCTCTGGACGGCCCTGGCCCTGCCTCCCGAGAGGTGCGCCCTCCCCCCCCCCGGTCGCCAGCTAGCCAGCCAGCCACCTGGCAGAAGCCTCTAGCACGGTAGCCTCCTGGTACCCCTGGCAGGGCGTCCTGGTGGGGGGCAGGGGGTCCCAGGGCTCAGACCACAGGGGAGCAGGAAGGGGGGCTGCTTTTTTCCCCCATTTCCTGAGACTGGTTCCCAAGTGGGTGCCCCTCCCCTCCGCCCCCACCCCGGACCTGGGAGCTGGCTCAGGAGAAGCAGGGGGCTGCCGGGCCCGTGGCCCCCAGGGCAGTGGGATGGAGCTGTTTCAACTCTAACCGAGGCACCAGTCAGTGAATTCTGGGACCTGGAAGGAGGCAGCCACCTTCCATGGGGCCAGACGCTGACTCTGGGGGCGGGGGGGAGTTGCTGGAACACGGGGTACTCTTCATGCCCCGCTCTGAGCTTCATGCCCTGCTCACATTTGAGGGGATCCACCAGTGTTTGCTGAGACGCAGCATGGCATAACCAAGAGCGCAGTAATCAGGCATCCCACGTCTGGGTTCAAAGCCCAGCCTGGGCACTAGCTGTCAGGGATGCCTTGGGCAGGGGGTCTCCGTGTTCTGATCTGCAGAACGAGACTACCACCCCCACATCCAGGAACGGTGGTGAGAATTGAGTGAGGCCCGGCACGTCGGGCAGTGGTGTGGGGCAGGCCGGGGTGATTTCTTGGGCCTTGCTGCCGGGCTGGCCATCGTGCTAAGGGTCTCGGTCCCCCGCGGATCCAGCCGAGCAGTCCCAACCCCTTGTCAGAAGAGCGGGGAACACTGGCAGGGAGAGGGCCAGGCTGGGCCGAGGTGGGAGGCTTGTTCCGGTGGGTGGACATAGGCCACCCCCAGGAAAAGCAGGCCCGGTGGCTGGCAGGCCCTGGGGGGCCCTGTGCTTTCCGCTGTGCTCACGCTCCGGCTTCGAGAAGCCCCCGACGGGCTCCCCGGTGGACGCAGGCCCGGCAGCCCTGCCTCTCAGCAGTAGGGCCCATTAGAACTGAACAACTCTTCGCAGGGCATTCTATTTGCACACTCCAGTAGAGTGGACACCAAAGGGGTTTTCTAATGCTTCATGGGCTGCTAATTTCCTCCGTGACCTCTTTTGTTGGGGTCTGACCCCAGCCAGAAGCTCTGCGCCATGCAAGCCAGCGCCTGACACAGACCCAGGGCGCGGGGTGACAATGAGGCTTCTATCAGCTTTAATCAGGCTCCGGTTGGGTCTGAAGAACGGGGTGGGGGGAATTTGTGTGGCGTTCAGAAAGCCCTGGGTGGCACAATGCCAGAGCCCCCAGCGTCCCTCATGGAGGCCAAGGGGGCTCCAGGCAGCGGCTGAAGGGTTGGTCGGGCCACGGGGCGGGGGGGGGGGGTGGGGTCGGGCCGGGGCCCTTTGTCCCAAGCGCCTCTTCAGAAGGCCGGGCCTGCCCTGAATGGCCGCCCGCCCGGCCTGGCCCATGGGTATCACAGGCCCCTAGGTATCTGCGGAGGCGGCCTCCCCCTCGGCCCCCAGCCTATTCATCGCCAGCCTAATTAGGTTTTTTTGTCTGTGTTCTCCCTCCCCTGCAGACTGCGATTCCTACTGCAAGGCCTCCAAAGGGAAGCTGAAGATTAACATGAAAAAGTACTGCAGGAAGGACTATGGTGAGTGCCAGTCCCCGTGTCTGGCGGGGCCCGCGGGGGCCACGTGACCAGCCAGGAGCCCGGCTCGGGGGGCAGGTGGCCCTGGCTGCTTGCTGGTCGTGGTGTCCCGGTGCCTGGACAGGGGCCTGGCTGGCGAGATCCCACGCCCAGGGAACTTGTTAGCTCTTCCTCCAAGGCCCTTGGAGGCAAGGGGCACGAGGGGCCTTCTGGGGGTGCGAAGGGCTGCAGGGGGGCACGAGGGCTGGGCTCTCTCTCCCTGGCAGGAGCTCCCCTGCGGCTGGGATTCCCAGCCTGGCCTCTGGCCTTCACTCTGCCCCGGGTGGGGGCCTGTGTGGCCTCAGACTAGTCGCTTCACCTCTCTGGTCTTCCGTGCCTTCATCCGTACGATGGGCTTTCAACCTGAGTCTCCCTCCATGGCTTAACGTGGGGTGGGGTCCTCCAGGCAACAGGAAAGGGGGTTTAAAAGCCTTCTGCTCCTTCCGGAGGTTGACTCTGCAAAGGCTGAGGTGGGCCAGGGAATCTGCATTTTAAATGGTTCGCTGAAGTTTGAACGCATCTTACAGGGGGGTCCCTGAGGGTGCTTTGCAGCCAGGAGCTGTGGGGCTGACAGCCCTGTCCCCTGAGCCGTCAGGCCTGGGGTGACCCAGCCCCTCGCTCACTACACACCAGCCCCCCTGCGCCCCCTCTCCGTCGGGCAGCCGTGCCCGCCTTCTGTACGCACTTGCTGGGAGCCACCTTGTGCCAGGCTGCCCCGGGGGAGGTAAGGAGCCGGCTTTGTGGCGTCTGGTCCCTCCATCCCTCCGGGACCCAGGGGCGCCCAGCAGCCCGGCCTGCCGTCTTCCCAGGGCCGGCCATTGCAACCAGACTGAAGGGGTTTCTCTTTAATAAGGACAAGCGTCAGGCCCGTTGAGCGTAACGAAAGGCATGAGGGAACCCAGAGGAATTTTGAGAACTTACAAAACGTAATCATTGTACCCCGTGAGAGTGTGTGTAAGTACACGGATACACACACACGCACACACACACATTACACACCCCACACTGGAGCCCAGAGCGCCCCCCACCCCCAGGCCGCCTGGCCTGCCGCTTGATGGGGGTGCGTCCGTGGGTGGCCCTGTTCAGACCCCCGTAGGGCCCACAGCAAATTCCCCAAAGCCCCTTTCAAGTGTTTACACCAGACACAGTGCAGAAACATCTGACTCCCGCTGGAAAAAGAACAAGCTCTGAGACAGTTTAAGGATAAAGGGGGTGCTGTCTCTGAGCCCCAGGGACATGCACAAGAGAGGGATGAGGGCTCAGGCAAGAAGGCCCAAGGGTTCTGTCCCGTTCCCAGGCGTGGGGCCTGGGGTTCAAGCGCGGGCTGTCTGCGCAGGCCCGGAGAGCTCGGGGTCGTAGAGAAGAACCCTGCCCAGGACAGGGGGCAGGGGGAAGGAATGGTGGGTGTCCTTGGGGAAGGATTGCTTTGAGTTTTGTCTGGAAGCATCCTTTGGTGGACACCTGAGAGGGGCTGGAAAGGGAGAGCCAAGCTGTCCTTCTGGGAGGAGTTGGCCCGCAGCCTCTGTTCTGTTCTAAAAGTGAAGAAAGGAAGAATTAGGCTTTTTAAAAGTTACCAATAGCTCCTGCGTTCCACCTGGTTCTATCCGACTTGGCTCCATTTTGTTCTCGTCTCTTCTTTTCCTCCGTTGAGTTCAGCTTCCCTGACCCCCAATGTTCCGGGGGACCCTTGTCCCCCTCGGCGCTCTCCTGGCCCCCTACCAGCAGGAAGGCTGAACACCCTCTTTTTGCCAAAGGGGGCCAGACACCCTCTTTTTTATGAACTCAGAGGGGCCCCACAGGCTTGTTCAGGAAGGAGGGGGCGGCCCCCCAGGGCTGGGCAGGGGCCCACAGGTACAGCCAGAGGCCTTGCGCTGGGGCTTGGGGGGTGAGGTGTCATGATTGGGTTCGCAGGACTTCGTAGAGAATCTTCCCTGCATTCTGTTGGGACCACAGACCCCCGGATAACATGCGAGTGGGGGCATCCCTCCCCTGCCTGGGGCAGACCTGGGCCGGCGCAGGGGTGCGATGAGCAGGAAGAGGACGAGGAGGGAGCTGGCCTGGGGGTCCGCAGGGAGGTGAGGCGGGCAGAGCGGGCCAGGCCAAGGAGGACTGGGGACCGGGCTTCTGAGGGGCTGCACCGTCTCTGCTCTGACTGACACCCGGCAGGGAGCCAATTAGAAAACGTAAGCAGTGACCTGGATGTTCCAGAAGCTGCTAATGAGCACCCCGGGTTTACTGCCCCTGCCAGGTGAAGAGCAGGCCCCAGGCCCCCTTCCTCCTGCTGCGGACGTGGAGCTGGGTCTCCGCTGACCTGGGCAGCGGGCGGCAGGGGTGTGCGGACGGGTCCCGTCCTGTGTTCGCTCTGGCGCGTTCCCGACGAGAGGGGCCCGGCGCGGGCAGGGCTGGGGTGGGCACCAAGCAGGGCAAGGAGGACTGGGGTCAGGGGAGGGCTGCAGGGCCAAGCCCCGCCATGCTTCTCACATCCCAAAAGCACCCCAGGTGGGGAAGGGTGGCCCGTTGTGTTCCCGTCTGCAGGGAAGGGGCCCCACAACCTGGAGGCACAGACCCCTAACGTGCTGCGGGACTTCGGGCAGGAGCCTCACCGGCCTGGGCCTCGGTTTCCTGCACATGGAGGTGTCATCCAGGGGACACGACGTCCTTCTGGATGAGACCCGATCTGCTCGGGGCAAGGGTGCAGGGTGATGCTGTGGTCTGCGGCCACCCGGCCCTCTGTTGCCCTCGAGGGGACGCCGCCAGCGAGCTGCCCATGAGGGACGGTTGTTCGCATTATTGCCCAGTGTCTTAGCGATGCCGGCCAGCTCCTGGGGGACCCCTCGCCTGGGAGGGGCCCTGCCTTGGTGTGAATGCCCCGGTGGGTGCTCGTGTGACGGCGTGCGTGAGTGTGCACGTAAGGGTGTGCACGTGGAGGTGTGACTGTGCGAGCAGGTGCGTGTGTGCTCGTGGGTGTGCATGAGTGTGAGTGTGGGCGTGTGTGTGCACGTGTGTGGGCGTGCGAGTACGGGTGTGCTCGTGTGACAGTATGTGAGCGTGTGCGTGTGCAAGCGTGCGAGCATGGTGGTGTGCGCACGTGGGTGTGCATGCGTGTGTGTGCCGTGTGTGAGTGTGCACACGTGCCCGTGTGTGACCACAGGTGTGGGTGTGCTCGTGTGACAGTATGTGAGCGTGTGCGTGTGCAAGCGTGCGAGCATGGTGGTGTGCACTCGTGTGCGCGCACACGCGTGTGTGCAGTGTGTGTGTGCACACGTGCCCGCGTGTGACCACAGGTGTGGGTGTGCTCGTGAGTGTGCACGTGCGAGAGTGTGTGTGTGTGACCCTGAGTGTGATCCCTCTTTGCACACTCACGGAGCGCCTGCTGTGCGCCCTCTCCTGACCTGGGTGCTGAGCTTACGAATGTGCAGGAGACGCCAGCTTGGCCCTCAAGGCCCTTACAGTCTAGGAGGGGAGAAGGACACACAGACGAGAGCTGGGAAGGTGGACCAGCCTGAGGTCCAGAGGCTGGTTCTCCAGAGAGGGTGTGGAGGGAGGGCTTCCTGGAGGAGGGGGCCCCTGGTAGCCAGCGCTCACGGGGCAAAGCAAGGCTCCCAGGCAGAGGGAGGAAGAAGTGGAAACAGGCTGGGGAAGTGGATGCTGGGTTTGGGGGTGCGGGGGCCAGGGAGGCTGGCGAGAGGCCCGTGTGGGCTTCAGCCGCCATGGCCACGTGCTCAAACCACCCTGAGCCCACCGAGAGCTGCCTCCTGCCTCTTCCTTCTCCCTGGGATTCGAAAGTGGGGGGCAGACAGACAGCGCACATTCTGAAAGGTGAGATCATCTCACTTTTGCCAGTTCTTGGAAAAATTATTCGTTCCCAGAAATGTTTATTAGTCACCCCTTTTGTTGAAAGACATTTTGGCACCGCCAGATGGAAAAATCAAAATGCTTTTCACAAGATGATTTGTGTCAAGAAGGCCTCCTGAGGTCCCGCAAGGATCATTTCTGGGGTACAGCTCAAAGGGGAGACTCTGTGGGCATCTGGGGGGGGAGATGGGGCTCGCCAGGCTGTGCACGCGTGTGTGCACGCGCACGCTCCTGCTTTCTCGGGGCCCGTGGCAGAAGCGGGCTGGGACCTAAGCGGAGCTGTCATTCACACTGACATCCCCCCGTGCGCCCTGGGACCTCCTGCGGCCTCGCCAGGCCCGGGATGGGGCACTTCACTGCCTTCCTTCCCGTCCTTGCTGAACCCACGCGAACACTTGCCTGCGATGCTGAGACTCACCGAGATCCAGTTACGTGCTCCAGACCGGGGACTCCAAAGCTCCAGAGGCTTCTCCTCCCCCGGGCCAGGGCCCGGAGCCTCTGGCCGCACAGAGGGGGCACAGCTGTCCCTTAGAAGGCTCAAGAACGCGTTTCCCCCCACCGGACCCTTGACTCCCCGTTCCTGGTAAGCCAGATACATCCTCCTTGGGAAACCGGCAGGTGTGGTCCCCGTGGTGTTGGGGTGACGTTTAGAGATGATGGAGCCGACGTGGCGGACGTTGTGGCCGGGCCTGGGGGGGAGCTGGCGATGGGCATGGCCGTGTGGGGGAGGGAGTCGTGGGCCAATCCCTGATGGGGGACAGGTGTGGGGGTGCCCGCGGATTACCGTGGAGCTGGGGGGGACAGTGTGACGGGGCCTGGCCCTTGCCTGGCTCTCGTCCAGCTACTCAGGCTGGAGATCAGATGGGGTCGGGGGAGAGGCTCCTAACTCAGGCCTCTTTTTGTCTCACCAGCCCCAGGGACGCGGGGGGCCCCCCCCAGCAAAGGATGGCCTCTCCCCTCTTAGCACTCCCTCCCCTTCCGTTTCTTGACCTTGAGTTCAAGAGCTATTCCTGATCAGGATCAATCCCGTTAAGTGCGGAGAACTGGATGGGTTCTCAACCCCGTCCCGGGGGCGATGCACCTGCGTGTACAGCGGGATGCGATCTCGG